GAAGGAGTTTGAGTGGATCCTCAAAAGATTAAAGCTATTATGGAGTGGGAAGTTCCAAAGAATGTGTCAAAAGTTCGAAGTTTTCTGGGGTTAGCTGGTTATTATCGAAGGTTCGTTACAAAATTTTCAATAATAACATTACCCCTAACTAAGCTGTTGAGAAAGAAAGTAAAATTTACTTGGACTCAAGAATGCCAAGAGAGTTTTGAAAAGTTAAAGAAGATTTTAACAGAAGCTCCAGTGTTAGTCCAACCTGAGTCTGGCAAGGACTTTGTAGTGTATAGTGATGCGTCTCATAATAGTTTGGGATGTGTATTAATGCAAGAAAGCAAGGTGGTGATATATGCTTCGAGACAATTAAAACTGCATGAGAAGAATTATCCTACACACGATCTGGAGATGGCGGCAGTAGTGTTTGCTCTTAAGATATGGCGTCACTACTTGTATGGTGAAAAATGCTACTTGTATACGGATCATAAGAGTTTAAAGTACTTGATGACTCAGAAAGAGTTGAATTTAAGACAGAGAAGATGGGTGGAATTTCTTAGGGACTATGATGTTGTGATTGATTTATATCCCGGAAAAGCGAATGTGGTAGCGGATGCCTTAAATCGAAAGACGTTTGCAGCCTTACGAGCTTTAGATGCTAGACTATCGTTAAGAGGAGACTATGCTATATGTACGGAATTGGCTCTCAAGCGATCATGGCTAGATCAAATTAGAGTATTGCAGGCTAGAGATGAAAAGTATTCAAAGAAGCTACATCAAATAAGGAATGAAGAGTGTACAGATTATGAGATGAAAATGGATGGGAACCCATACTATCAAGGGAGGCTAGTGATTCCAGATGATAATGAATTAAAGACTGATCTATTAACGGAAGCTCACTATAGTCCATTAACGCTGCATCCAGGAGGAAACAAAATGTATATGGATCTCAAGAGTCGATATTGGTGGCCTGGAATGAAGAAAGACATTACAAAATTTGTATCAAAATGTTTGACTTGTCAACATGTCAAAGCTGAGCATCAGGTTCTGTCGGGATTATTACAATCAATATCAATTCCTCAGTGGAAATGGGAGAATGTAACGATGGATTTTGTGATGGGGTTACCTTTAACTCCAAACAAAAGAGATTCAATCTGGGTGATTGTAGATAGATTGACTAAGTCAGCCCATTTTATTCCAGTGCGAACTGATTTCTCCATGGATAAATATGTTGAACTATATGTTATAGAAATTATACGTTTACATGGTATACCTGTTTCCATAATTTCTGATCGGGATACTAGATTCACATCGCGATTTTGGAAATCATTATATGGAGCATTGGGAACTCGGTTGAACTTTAGTACATCATTTCATCCTCAGACCGATGGACAATCTGAGCGAACTATCCAAATTCTGGAGGATATGCTTAGAGCTTGCGTAATCGAATTCAAAGGATCGTGGGAAAGGCATTTGCCACTTGTTGAATTTGCATATAATAATAGTTATCAGTCAAGCATCAAAATGGCTCCCTATGAAGCTCTTTATGGAAGAAGATGTCGTACACCCTTGAATTGGTATGAACTTAAGGATCGAGAAGTTATTGGTCCTGAGTTGATTCAGGAAATGGAAGAGAAAGTTCAAGTAATTCAGAATAATCTGAAAGCTTCATCTGATAGACATAAATCATATGCTGATTTAAAAAGGAAAGAAATTGAGTTTCAAATTGGAGATAAAGTGTTCTTGAAAGTGTCTCCGTGGAAGAAAGTATTGAGATTTGGACGTAAAGGAAAATTGAGTCCTCGGTTTATTGGACCATATGAAATCGTTAAGAGAGTGGGACCAGTGGCATATCAATTAGCTTTGCCACCTGATATGGAGAAAATTCACAATGTTTTCCATGTTTCAATGCTTCGTAAGTATCGATCTGATCACTCCCATATTATATCACCAGAAGAAATAGAAGTGCAATCGGATTTGACATATAAGGAAGAACCGGTCCGAATTTTAGCCCATGAAGTTAAACAATTAAGGAACAAGACTATTCCATTTGTCAAAGTGTTGTGGAGAAATCACAAGGTGGAAGAAGCGACGTGGGAACGTGAAGAGGACATGAAGATTTAATATCCCCATCTCTTTGTACAATGAAAATTCGAGGACGAATTTTCTTAAGGGGGAGAGATTTGTAACATCCCAAACTACAGGTTAGTGACTTTATTGTAAAGTTTCAGAATTTGTTGATTTAAATAGGAATATTTCAGTTGGATTAAGTGGTGAATACGAAAGAATTAAAAGGATAGTATGGTAATTTAGCTTAAAAGATACTTTTATCTCTCTATTTAGAGAGATACACTTGGAAGAGGAAATAATTCTCCAGAGTTATCTTCTCCTCTTTGTTCTTCATACGTGAGGCTTGAAGCATGAGGTGAGTTTTCTGATTTGTTGGTTATTTGTTAAATTAAATGTTAGGTTTTGATCATTAGAAGATAACTAAACTTAAAGAAAGCTTAAGTTGTCTTATAATCAAAAGATGAAGAAGTTATAAGAAATTAAAGAAAATGGGATTTTATATGAAATTATGGAAAAAAGTTGATAAGTTGAATTTGAAGTTAAATTTGACTTGTCATCATGCTAATTAAGGAATATGAAGTGTTAGAATTGAGGGTCATTGAGGGTACTTAGGCCATTTAGTATTCAAGTTTATCCCGGTCATTTCAGAGTTTTTAGAGTAATTCGATCATTTCAACAATTTGGATACGTATAATACTTCAATTCGGTTCAATTTTTTTTATAATATAGTCATTTCAAGTAATTCATACGCGTAAAGTACTTTCGGTAATTTAGCCTCCGGGTGTTCGTTTAGGATTTAGAAATTCTAGGTTATTTTTCTATTTCAAGGATATTTCAGTCATTTCATTTAATTTTGGCATATACATTACTTCTGGCAAACTAGTCTTTAGGAGTTCATTCAAGAATCAAAATTCTAAGTCTTTTATCATCTCAAAGGTTATGGTCGATTAACATGGTTATTTTTACTTTCAGGGACAATCATTGTCTTTTACATCACACATGTATTTTCGTAGTTTCTTATCCAAGTATTTCCGACATTTAACCTTTAACGAAATTAATCAGAATTTACGAGTCTTGAGATTAATTGATTTACTGATTAAATCATTGAACTTAGATTTATCGCTTATCGATTTTCTAGTTCCTTACACAAGTCGATTGAGTCTTATTGGGTTTACTGTCTTTATATCGTATTCAATTCGAGTCCATCAATAATTAACTCTATGCAATTGACCAATAACTTCAATCATGCATTAACAAATCACCAACATGTACCATAAAGCATGCATATGGTAGTAAAGTATTACCTCGATTTTTAAGTCACACCAGTTAACCAATTAAACTCCATTTGATCACACTCAAACTTTAATTCCACGTCCCATAATGTATCAGATACATGGTCAAGCCAATTACATTAGAAACAAAACTTAAACGTGAAAATTCGTATTGAATTGGGAGATAAAATGCTGAAAAATAGCTTACCGAGATCGAATTTGGCAAAACAGACTTTGGATTCAGACTCAGGACGTCAAAAAACGTATAATATGACTTTTCAGAAATTTTAACTTTTTGGTGAAAGTCAACAGTCAAACTGATCAAAGTCAAAGTCAACAGGTAGGTTAACGGTCATGTCAAAGTCAATGGTTCGGGTTAAGTTCAATGGGTTAGATCGGTTCGGGTTGACTCAGTCTGATTCGGGTTGACTCAGTCTGATTCGGGTTGACTCGTACTAGTTCGGGTTGACTCGAACTAGTTCTAGAAAGTTCATTGAACCACAAAAAAGCCCTATACACGTTGCCAGTGCGTGACAACGGTGACAAGGCAGGTTTGGACGACCGAGCATCCCACGATCAACCACACACCAACATCTACTCAATTCAACAACTAATTAAGCCAAAACACGAGGGAAAATATTCGAACAAATGCGAGAAATGCTTACCCACTGTGGACGACGACTTCGTTCGGGTTACGAGTGGACTATGGTGAGGAGCTTAGTGGTAGCGGCAGTGAGTCAAAACGACGGCTGGAACGATCGAAAATGAGAAAAATTGGGGTGGCGATGTTTTGGGTTTTGACGATGGACGATCTATCCTCTACGGCGGACGACTGAGAATCACGACGAGTGGTCAGCTGGGTTACGGTCGCAACGACCATGCGTACTGGATAGGGGCGACAGTGACATCCACCGATGAGCGGTGACGGCGAATCAAAGAGGGCGAGCCAGCGAGTTTTGACAATTTCGCTCCTAATGACGGCCAGATCGGGTGACTTAAGGTTGGAGTTGAATCGTCGATCACTGCTGAGGTCGAAGACAACGGCGGTGCACTCAACCGCCACCTGGAGGGGCTGGCGGAGGGGTGACGGTGGGGTTGTTTTTTTTGGGTTTGGGTTTCGAGGTTTGGGTACTTGGTTACCAATGGGGGAGAGGTTTGACAAATGGGTTATAACCCGAAAAAATTATTATAATACTTATATTTATTATATTAGTCACAAACAATGACTCATGCTAGATGGTATAAGTTCGAGTTTAAACCATCTCAGCCAACTTCCTATTTTTTTCCACTTATCAGAAAATTGGGTAAATTCAAGGCTAAATCCCTGAACTTCTCAAAGTTACAAGGTTGACCTAGAATCTTTCAAAACTACCCATTTTAATCCCTTAATTAAGTAAAATAATTTAAATAAACTTTAAATTAAATTCGGGGTGTGACCTTAATGGTTCCATATTTCCATCCCCACATCTCATATTTCCCCCTTTAGCTCGAACCGTCGATGCGGGGTGTATTTTGGGGGACCCCTTATAGGATAGGTTTGCAGTGTGCCCCTTCCGAGTCACTGAAAGATTTGCAAGTCTAATCTCATATGCTCATTACATGACCACAAAAATCTCTCTCACTCATTTATCCTCCCTATATACCGCCCTATAACCTCATATATATCCACACCTCCTTACACTTCACTCAACTTCCAATACAAACTGGAGAAATGGCCTTCATTAAACTATGCTACTTACTTTTGCTGCTTTTCTCCTTCTTCCTCTCACCACATGTACTCCAAGGTCATTTTCCTTTCCCTTGCCTTCGTACAGGGATTTTCAGCCATTTTCTTGCTAGAAAGAGTTGCATTCGTCTTGTTTTCATGATACATTCTGGTTTTGCAGGATTCCGACGAACTCCATTTATACTTCTTCTCCAACAAGGAGTCTATCAGTATCCGCCATTGCATTTGCAGGTAAAGGGTATTATTAAGGCATGAGCTTCTTTTATGATTATAGAAACAATTTTTCTAACTCAAAAACATATTTCAGGCAACGCATGGCAGTAAAGAAGCGAAGACGAATAGGAGTTGGAGGAGATTGATGATTGGATCCACGGCTCCTACCTGCACTTATAATGAATGTAGAGGATGCAAATACAAATGCAGAGCAGAACAAGTTCCGGTTGAAGGAAACGACCCAATCCATAGTGCATATCACTACAAATGCGTTTGCCACAGGCCGTGATTATTCTGTGTAACTTTTGAGCTAAAAGTATATGGTTCAATGTTCTCCTAGTCTTGTTATCGATCATATGAAATTCTGGGGAAATTTTCCAAAATGAGAAAGCTTTTATTTTTGCTTTTTTTCTTTGTGTTGGAAACAAAACAAGAACATGATTGTATTTGAACAAAATATAGTATTAGATATGGTGTTAGGGTTTTCAAAGGTTTTTGAAGTGAGGATCACTGCCACTGCAACTGCAACTGCAAGTTGGCATGTGGCAGTGGTCCCAAAGTATATTAAAACAAAAAATTCACATGGTGTAACTTTTCTTTTGAACCTATTCAATTAAACCAGCAATGGCAGAAACCGGAACCATAAGAAAGAATAAAGCCAGAAGGTGATGAGGCCCCATTTTTCTGAGAAAACAAGCAAGCCCCCACCAACATTTAATTGCTCGATTGCATTCGGCTTTCTTGCAGTTTTGAGAATATTCTGGTGATCACCACACGTTCACACGCGCAAAGAAAAACAAAAGTAGCGGTATGCTTTTGTGGGGCTATATAGGCCTCCGGTCGAGTACATTTAACCTGCACGAATCATGACCTCCAAAAATCCAAATCAGCATGACCCTATTCCAGCACAGATTTCATACACGAACTTAAATGCAATCCGATTGTTTTATTGACTGTAAAAATTTGGTTTTCTTCTGTTGTTGGTTGTGGGTGAAAATTGTGTTTATCTCACACTCCTTACTGCCTTATTTTGGTTTATTGTGCAGACATTTTGGTTTATTTGCGTGCACTAAATAGCAGAATTGAAACTGACAAGAAGGTGGGGTGCTAATGAGGAGGGAGGGCTGGGTGCCCCAGTTTATCAATATACAGGAACAAGCTAGACCGAACAACATTTGAGGCCTCAGCTACAACTGTACATCAAAATATTTAAGGATCTAATATTTAATATACATAAAAATTATTGAAAACATAATATTTTATGTTTATATGAATTTAAATTCGGATCGATTAAATCAATTACAAATATTTATTTTATATTTTTTTAAACTTATAAAACATTTATAGTGAAAATGGTGAAAATATTTTCTTTTATTTTTATTTTCATATGATTTATTTTTTACTTTCTAAAATTTGTGTTTATAATTTTTAAAAGAACATATTTTTAAGAAATTTAAAAAGAAAAACAAAACATTAAAAAAAATACGGAACATAAGTAACTTGGTTGAAAGATCCAGTCTAGAGGCCCAACAGATGAACCCAATATTTTACATCAATACATTTGTTATTACTTTTTCCTTGGAATTTTTGGACAATAATATTAAGGATACGTATTTAATAACTCAATTTTTCTTATAACTTTGTTTTGTTTACAAAACTGTTCTTTTAATTATATTTAAATTTTCATTTTCATCTCTTGTCGTTAATAAATAAATAAAACTATTGATGTGATATTTTTTCAATGATGACATGTCATCATCATCATTAATTTCTTAACAGAAAATGACCAAAAAGGAACAAAAATATAAGTTTAAGTATGCTTTTAAAAATAAAATTGAATGACTAAAATAGAACCGTAAGAATAGTTAGATGATTAAACACATAATTTACCCTAATTTTAATTCATTGTTAGTGGAATGAAGGTTGCAGTCAATCCCTCCTTTTTTATTTTACTTTTAGGGTAAACTACAGATTTGGTCACTTTCGTTTAAGTTCTATAAACTTATGGTCATTAGATTAAAAAAAAAGTTTTGGTCACTTACGTAGTTACGTTATCGTTTTATTAAGATTTGGCCACTGAAACGTTAGCTGTCGTGAGTTTGATGATGTGACATGTTAGTAAACAATTTTAATTTTTTTAACTCTTTGAACTTTAGATAAATTATTAATCATAGGTCTTTTGTAAATCAAAAAACAATTTAGTGAAAAAATACCAATTTACCCCTTTTTCATATGTTTTCTTCCCCAGGCCTATCTTCTCCGCCGCTTCCCTCGCTTCCCCATTTCACTTCAAATATTTGGGATTTATTTTCGGGATCTATAAAAGAAAAAAATGGTACATGCCTTTGGATAACCCGACCACAGTTGTGGTGGTCGAAAAAGAGTGAAGCAACACCGTTCTACATCGGATGCATGGTGCTTTTGGGTTAGAGAACTTTCGATCTAGACATAACTAAAGTTAAGGGAGATTGGGAGTGCTTCGTCTCCGGTTGACAATGGTTTGGACTTCTTCATTCGTTGACTGTGGCGTTCGGAGTAGTGACCACTGATGAACGGTGGTGAACAATGTAGGTTTAGTTTTGTGAGGGTCATAGCTGTAGAGAAGATGGAGTTGTGGAGAGGTGTAAAAAGGGGTAAATTGATATTTTATCCTTGAACTATTTTTTGTTTACAAAAAGACAAATGATTGATAATTTATCTAAAGTTCAAGGGTTAAAATAAAAGTTAAACTTTTTTTTATTAATGTGCCACATCATCCAACTCACGACAGCTAACGTCTAAGTGACCAAATCTTAATAAAACGATAACGTAAATAACAAAAACTTATATTTTTTTTAATCCAATGACTATAAGTTTATAAAACTCAAAACAAAAAAATACCAAATCTAAAATTTACCCTTATTTTTATGGTATTTTTCTTTCTTCATGCTCATCTATGTTTTTTATGTGGATTTGGTCGATTGACAAATGATTCTGCCACGATCTATTTTTGCATATCTTAAGATTTTTTTAGCTATAATCTTTTCTTATTAAAATAGAGAAAGTTTTACTCTTTTACAAAATCTTCAATCTTTTAACTTGATTTTATCATAACTTTTATTGCGAAAAATGATTTTGTCATATTCTTATATATTAAGTGTTTTTTCTAATATATTATTTTAATAGGAAAGTTGTTTTTAATAATTACAACGTTTAAATAATATTATTTTTTAGTAAATATTTATGTTTGAATTGATTTTTTATTATGAACATAAAAAAACACTTACTAATGTTTTTAAAAATTATTTTCATTACCAAATTCAACCACATTGATGAATCAGGCACTGTTATAGTAAGTAACCAATCCAGCCTCAACACTGCAAGCACATAACACAAAGCCCGATCGAAGGTGGAAGCAAATATCCGTACCCTTTTCTTTTATTACTATTACGATCAAAGTACTCAAAGGGTTCTGCGGTAGAGTACTAAAAGACTCAGGCTGTACACTCTCAATGAAATCTCAGTTTATGCCCCCTCTTTCATACGCAATCTCAGAGGAAAATCGATGATAAAAGTCAGAAAGAGTTAGATTAGTTCATTTATGAACCACAGAATCGTCCATACTCTTCTTCTTCTTTTTTCTGCTATTTACAACCTGGAATGGAATGATGATGACCTGAGGGGTACTTAGGGATGGATAGAGCGAAGCGTACTTTGAAATTTTTAGTTTTTTTATGTTTTCTATTAATAATTTGGTTCGTTGATCCTAAAAATTTTATAAATTTATTTTATTTTAAAATTTTATAAGAACTTCTTTCACGATATAAAACTTTATGTAGGTCCCTGGACATTGTTTATTAACCTGGCAGGCTGCGTTCTGTAATGAGATTCAGTTTTAAAGTCGAAAGAAGCTCTACCGAACAGGGTCCTGAGCACCGCCGCCACCACCACCACCACCATGTGGCTTGGAATTCAACTTGTTAGCCCCGGAGTCGCTGCAGCAGGTGGCTCGGTGAACGTGTCACCTGAATGAACCGGCGTGGCTTGTTGGAATTCATCTCTATTGCATGCTTTCTTGCCTTCATCAATTGGTCTCCCTCATTTGGTGAACTCTTCATTACAGTGGGCCTGGGAATAAAGAAAAAAAATCATCACTACCCAACTTGAAAGATAAATCACTTTCTTCTTGCACTGTTTATTGATTTGAAGGAGGAAGAAAGTATGATACTATTTATCTGTACATTGGGCATTTAGTATATATGTCAGTATAATAAGGCTGCAAACCACTGAATTTGGTATTAAATATAACAATAGCAGAAACAAGTTAATGCACAATTAAGCATTCACGTGATATTGTTTCTCACAAAAGTACTACATAAATCATTGTCCTCTAGAAAATATCGTGAAAATTTTCACATTGATCTGCCGACAGCTGGAGATAAAGATGAAGAATGTTTTTTAAGTAATATTAAACAAGCTAACAAGATTATTAATAAAATTAATTTAAGTGATAAATAATTTAACATCGTTTAAATAAATTTCATGTTTGGAATTTTGTGTAGGCAAAAATTTCTCATTAGAAGAAACACTCATTAAAATTAAGTACACGACACGAGTCTATACCTTGAAAACTCAAAAAGACAATACAAAATAAGATAAAAAGATTAATAGATTCTAAAATTTGAAAAAGGATGACAATAAGTTTCATATAATTTGTTTGTTTTACTGGAAACATAAATATGACGCTCACCGTCATGCAATAGCCATGGGGATTGGATTTGACGCATCTGATTTACGTAATTCTGACTCAGGGATGGATAGAAGGAAAAACAAGTAAGTACACTCGTCTTAAAAAAAATAGATTCGTATATATTTTAGATGATTTTTATATTAATTTTAATATATAATATATATTTACTACCCCTAACATAAGATTTTATGCCGTTAACTCTTTATCAATATATATATACCCTAACATATATATTAATTTCAATTTATAATATATATTCACTACCTATAATTTTACAAGTTTGTCTCCTTTTAAAAATTTAATACCTAATATAAGATGTTATGCCCGTTAACTCTTTATCAATATATATATATACACCAAGAGAGGCAATCATATGTTGAGAGGGGGCGCATGCATGCAAAACCGACGTACTTTAACCGTTCTTTTGGTAAATGAAGAAAAAATAACAAATATAGTATTATTCACTTTAGTTCCTGGTAATATTTTTTACCGTATTATTAAACTGTAAATAAGGTTATTTATCTATTTTAAAAATATTATCCACATCTTACATCTTTCAATTATGATTACCTATTTGTTTGTTTAACATTTTTAAATATATTCGTTTAGTATTATGAATATATTCATTTATATATTTAGAAATGTTAATTAAAACAAACAAAATTAAATAGATTGAACTCACCTATGACCTATACAAAGGGATTAGGTGTGGTTGCCCCATTGTTAAAGGGGCACAGGTTCGAGTTCCTTTGTCAATCATCACTTTCTTTTTATCATTTTATTTGTAAGTTAAAAAAAGTGATAAAACTACGTCCTTAAGTTTCTTAAGCTCCAAAGTTCAATGTGTTAAATTTAATCCATACTTTAATCAATATTTAAAATAAAAAACACATAAAAAGAGAATCAAATAAAGGAGCTTATAAATGAGTTTATAAACGAACTTTCAAATGAGTTTGTTCGTGAACACTAACGAACAAAACACACTTATATTCGAAATTGTTCATTTATTAGATGAACGTAAAAATTTTACTCATCCTTGTTCATTCAACTCAATAAATGAAAATATGATTGTTATACAAATGATTCATAAAAAAAATTATCGAACATTTTATTCATTTACAACATATTAGAGAGGGGTTTAGGTTTGATCCTACTTATTAATGTAAATGTATTAGTCCTTTGTCACCATGCCAATAACTTGTTATTAAATCACCAGTTTATTACAGCTTCCCAAAAAAAATTAAAATTATATATTTTAATACGATGATTGATTTTGTTAATAAGATTATTTAATTATTTGACTGATATTAATAAACATAAAAAAAATCGAAGGACCTCATGTGTAGCCCGTGATGTTAGCAACAACCAGAAGGGAAAAAGCTGTGTAATTTGTCCAAGTTCCAAGCCTAAAGCGTGTGGGTTGATTCGTTTCCTTGATTTGCAAAACTGTTAAAAGAGTTTGGCCAAAAGTAATATTTCAGAGTTCCAAAATCAGATACAATCCCATGACTTGAAATTACATATTTACAAGAAAAAAATAACCATGTAATTCCAAAATCAAAATCAAAAGTGCAATTCCATTGTACTTCCAAAAGAATTACATATTTTCAATGGAAATCATCAAAAGATTGTCTTAAAAAGGATTTTAACAATTCTGCTCGTAGTTAATAACCTCACATGATAATTAATATAACAGTAATCACTATAATAATTATCATCTTAACCCCATGGCATTGTCCATTTACTATTTCTCAACATCTTAAACTATATTCACGTAATACTAATATATATCGGCTTTTAGAATGCAGTAAGCAAGGGGCGGCAGTGGCGGCTTCAAAATAATCAACTTGGGACCAAGCAGCAAGAGAAAAAGCACAACCCTTTCTTCTGCATCAAATTAAACGAAATGAAAAAAATGGAACTTTAATGTGTGACTAATGGTTGTATAAAAGGTAAAACACAATTATTACAAACATGGGGAACAAAGGAACAATGGTGGAGACTGGATATTGTAAGCTTTTTAAGTTTTAAAATTTAATGGAGTAGTGAAGCCTGCCTTTTTTGTTTTTGCGTAAAGCAGTTCAGGTGAGATTTTGTAAAGGTCTTCATCAACGGGGTTTGGAGTTGGCTTGGCCGTAGGATCGGGGTTTGGTTCTGTCCCTGCCGGTTGTTTCACGTCACCGGCCTCCCAGCTTTGCGTTTTGTCTTCTTTAACATGCGACTGTCGTACTTTTGTCTGCAAATTTCCATTCATTAATACTAAAAATAACCCATCTACGATGGCTTTGATTTGTTTAGTTCTTAGTTTACTTACCCTTTTACGAGGAACGACGATCATGGCAGGAGTAACAACATCGTTCTCAAAAAGATCACCGGCAACATATAAATCACGATCCTCGGAGCAATTGTAACGAAGCAATCCGGTTTGTCTAGCCGATTCGAAACACTGAGTAAAAGGAAGGTCGTTGTTCCAATCCCAGCTACCAAAAGCCGGAACATGGTTCCTTCTGTAATAATCCTGCTGAACACACAATCAAACTATGTTATCATATCCTTTAACCAACAACAAATGAAAGTACAAAGAACAAAACCAAAAATGGAACACACATGAAACTCAACTTGAAAGCATGGAAGGAAAAAAAGGACAGACTTTACTTACATCCATACTGCAGGAGAATCGAAATTTTGTGTCGTCTTTCCCTTGGTTTTTTTCTTCATTGTGTGGCCGTGGGAAGTCCAGCAATTTAAAGGGTGAAGTGAAAGGAAGCTAGGGTAAAAGTAGAGGTACGGGGGTGGGATCCAAAGCAATAATTTTTTTAGCTCAGGTAAAAAAGAAATATTAACCCTGACCAGATGAAGAAGTTTCACAGCAGGAGACACTAGGACAAAGAGGGTAAGGTAAGATAATTATAGGATGAAAGACAGATTAGTAAAACAGAGTGAGTGTGCTTTTGATCAATTGTATATTCCAACGCTTTAACTTTTGTCTTTGTGGGGTTCCTTTTTACTGCAATGAGCAAGCAAAGGCTATGGATTGGCCGTTGGATTTAGGGTTTTAACCCCACACGCGTACGGGGAAACAGAGAAGATGAAGTCAGTAAAGGGTCAACACTCAACAGTTTAACATTGGGTGCGTAATGGATCTGAAAGGGATAACAGTGTTTTAAAGTTGAAAACTTGCAGAACACAAAGTTGCACCGGGAAAGAATAAATATTATATTATATTTTTTTTTTATTTTGCAGGGAAGCAGTTCAACTGATAAGGACATGTGCAGCTGTGCACACAACCTCTGCGCTTTTTTCCTCCCTTTTTTCTTTTAATTTATTGTCCCTTTAATGGAAATTTTTGATATTTTTCATTCTGTGAATTTGTTTTTAACCAACGGTAAAATCTAAATAATTAAAATATCCAACGAAGATTTGAACCTTTGGCATGGATTGAAGAGTCCTTGGTAAAAATTTTGAAGAGCGAATCCATTTATTTATTTATATTCATTATTTAAACAATGATGACATCATGAGGATTTGACATGAAATAACCCTGTTTTTTTATTTTGGTTTCCAAGGGACTATGTTTGGTCCTGTTTTATGTTTGTGTTGAATCAGAACAGACCTCGAAACGATGCATACCTTAGATTCGGAAGTATCTGTTTCTATTTATTTATTTTTATCCAAATCAGGTGTGTTCTTCGTTCCTCTCTGTCGGTCATATTGGATTTTACAATTTCTTATTCTGACATACCAAACATTAGGCATTTGATTCTTCGGATAATAAAAATTAAATGTCCATGTCTTCATCTACAAAAATAAGATACTCGTAAATCTGATATCCAAAATAATTGGACGGCTCAGAGGATAACCAATATCATTTTTTGTACTTTATTTCTTTTACGATCACATAATTTAAATAAATTCAAACCTTAAAAGTTCAAATCACATAAAAAGAGCGCGCGCGCGCATATATATATATATATATATATATATATATAATATTTTATTAAAATAAAAGTGTATATATATATATACATACAATCAATTTAGTTTATTTACTTTTTAAATTGATTAATTTGATTAATTATTAATTTTGGATATTTTAACATAATAAATCAACTAATAGAGATTGAATATTTAATAATCTGGGTCTGACATGTAAATTTGTAATATTTAGCAAGGTGAATATTTGACACGCGACCTTTATTTTAAAATAAAATTACATTTTTCGATTATATAAATTCAAATGGTTTGGGAAAAATATAAGGTAGTATTTGTTCAAACTTTTTTAACCTATTGACAATAGACATACACTCTACAGACATAACTGCTCAAACTCAATATCTTAATAAAAACAACATTTTTTTATACCACTAAGTTTGCTTAATGAATTCAAATCAAATATTTTTAAAAATCTCTCTATTATAGTAATAATAATATAATAAAACTATTCATATAGTCAAACTCTGATGAAGTTCTGATTTATTCCCTATATACTAACTATATTGACATAACCTGCCCGATAATAAATTAGAAAAAAGTAAAAAGAAGAAGAAAAATAAGAAAGGCCGACCCCCGTATCAATGGGTTAACCTGATATCATTTATACCCATTGGGCCTGTTTATAGAACCGTTGAATAACTAGTTAAAATAATAAGCTGATGAGAATTTTGCACCAATATATTTTTTATTTTTGTTTATAAAATTTTAAAACATTATTTTTGGATCAATATGTTTTTATTTGAAAATATTATAAATTACTTGCTCATCTAACCAGAGGCGGACCCAGGAACCTTCGTCAGGGGTTGCAAGAGCCCCATGGATGGCACTTTTGAGGGGTGACACTTGGATTAGGGGTGACACTTGTGGAGGGGTTGCTTGGGATACCCCGGGTACCATGGAGGTCCACCCCTGGATGTGGGGTTGCCCGGGATACCCCGAGCTCCATGGAGGTCCGCCCCTGCATCTAACCACGCTACTACATCACTACTCTGTGATTTATAGGTGAATAAGGTGGATGTTTAATGTCTCATAACTTCCTAAGGTATAGTAAACCTGTTTGTATTGGGCCCCGGCTTAGTGGAATAACAAACCAGAGGTGCGTATTTGACACGCTTATGTTTCAGGCATTCAAATGGACAAATGACATGCTTTCATAGTGTGTTTTTTTTCTCGATTAATTAATTATTTATTTCGTTCCGTCACAAAAAAATATCAAAACTTTGGTCTTATCTTTGCTAGATACATTATTTTCTTCCTAAATAATATCACTAAGACTTTTAACATCTAAATATATTTTTGCATCTAATATCCAAAATATTTTTTTTGGATATATATATATATATATATATATATATTATGATCTACTTACATATAGTGCACAACTTTTACGAGCTAAAATCTATAATTATTATATTTTTAGTTTTAAACTTTACAAAGTTTATACTTTAACTCTCAAACTTTTAAAATTTACATTTTAATCACTAGTTAAAATTTGGGTATTACGCTTCTCATCTCATAAACCATGAATAACCCTCACCATATGAAACCTAGGTCTCTAAAATCCAGGTTCACTACAAGGTTCCTCAGGGCTCTGACCAAAATCCATGCTCAAAAACCTATATCATTGTCTTCTCCCACCTAGATCTTCCGACGGTACAGAAGGATGAAGGTTGCTGCTGACAAGTCCATGGGTTACCCGGTTAGGTCGAGGAAAACTTGGAGTAGGGAAATGCTTTGGAAGCTTCGGAGCTGATCTTGTGGCAGAAGAAGACCAGTGAAGACTAGAACGCTTATCAAGTCCCGACAATCCCTCATGAAGAAAACAAGACACGAAAACACAAAAACAACAACAGCGGAAGATGGGTTCGGTGTCGAAGCAAGGGAACTAAGAGAGCTTGTTCCAGGTGGTGAAGCAATGGATTTCTGCAACTTGTTGGACGAGACAGCTCATTACATAAAGTGTCTTACCACCCAGGTACAGGTGATGAAAAAAATTGCCGATTTCTACTCTCTCTGAGACTTTGAGTTACATTATATATATTCTTATCACATCATTATATATATAATAAATCCGAAGAACATAATTTTAAAAGGGAAATATTTTCTTTTTCTGTAGAAAGCATATATATAAATAGCCAGCTGAAATAGTTTCTAGACAGGAAGTGATGAGTACTAAGAAGGGATCTAGAAATTTAAGAATGAGGGTCCAAAATTTTAATTTTATTTTCTTAAAAATAATGGTTATGTAAAAATTGTAATTTTTTCTTTTTTTCTTAACATATTAAGCTAAATTTAACCACTTTTTTAAAATAATAGAATACACTTGGCTCCTATGGGACTTAGTGCATCCGCCACTAGTCCTAAGTGAATAAACTTGCAAAATCTGTCATGATTTACATACTAGTGTTTGTATAGTTATGTTGGTAATTTCTATTACTATATATATGAATTTATTTTACATAAAATTTGTTTTTCTTTCTTGTTCTTGGGTTTCCAAAACTCTTTGATTGATAAATTATCATTTAATAATAAATATTTTTAATTATATTAGTTTGACATGGAGTATACGTCAAGATAGTTGTATTACGGTGAGACAAATGAGGTTTAATTCTATCTTTAAATGATTATCAACTTCACAAAATTAAACACAGACCAAAACTCGATAAATAAAGCAGAATGTTCTTTGTTCCAATGATAATGTCAAAATAATCAATCATAATCAATTGTCTTAAGTTTGGGTAGCCTATGAGCTTTTCTAAAAAGGAACATATAAATATCCCTTTTATAAATTTGTGTATTATTCTTTTAAGTGTTCAAAAAAGATATCTTAATTATTAATTGAGTTTTAGGCCCTATTATATAGTAATATGTTTATTAGTACCCACATTTATAAACACATATTTTTAATTGATAAATAAAATTATAACATACTTTGTTAAGATCCTACTCAATTCAAAGTACCCACATGATTTTTCTTATCATAATATTATAAAAGAAGAGATTAATTATAAACATATATTAAACCCAACATAAATTTCTAAGATATATTTTCTTGGAGGATGAATTTGAGGTCTATGAGAATTAATCGAGTTCTTCGTTGAATCTATAGTCTAGATTTTTAGGTAATGGTAACTAAAACTCAACTTTCAAAAGAATCGACTCTAATGATGTTTTCTTTATTATTAAAAAAACAAATTTTGTGAGACATCACACTAAAAAAATAAATTCAAGTATCATATTTTTGAAAATTACACAAATACCTGAATATGTCAAATTAGTGATGTAATTAAGCTTAAGTAAGAAGTATTGATGACATATGCCAAAATTAATTAGCATTAATTGAATATTTCCTAGCGTTACTGTAAGGTCTTTGACAACTAGCACATCAATGATGGGTGCAATTTTCTCAGTGCTAAACACACTGACATGGCAAAATAACATTCTTCAAAGTATTGGGAAAAATGTGGTTGTTTAAGACCAAATTAGGCTGTTTATGTTTGTACGAGAAGGGGTTCCATTAGGTATACATGAAACTAAATAAAATAATTTTTTATTTAAATATAATTTAATAATATCTGAAACAACTTAATTTTTTTTAATTAATAATAGTAGTTAGTTTTATTGAATAAAGATGAAATACAATAATATTATCAAATAAATCTATAAATATTAGAGTATATCAATCACGTCGACTGATAATTTAACCTAAAACTATTAGAATGCACAAACTAACATTAAAGAATAAGATAGGAATATATAAAGAAATGGTTAAAAATTCAATCGAATAATTATAAAAAATAGCATATAAATAATCAACAGGGATTGATTCAAGTGGTAAGCAGCTTGATATCGCTTAAGTAAAGTCTTGAGCTCGAGTCCTTGTGTATGCAGAAGATCCTAGTTGGGAGATACACTCACTAAAGTTATGTGTGCGATGAAGGTCGGTTTGGATTAATTGAGGTGAAACCTTGGAACCAAAAGGGAAAAAAATAGCATACGGATAAACATCAATATCGGCTGTAGAAGATTCATACTATCAATACTAACATAAAAATACATATAATATTTATGAGATGTTACAGTTTTCACAAACACTGTACGGAAGAACTTACCGAACTACAAGATTGTCAACTTAGTTTCTTATACGTACGAGATATGGTGGTGAAGTGGTGATAATAAAAAGAGCAAGAAAAGGAAGGGAGAGCATGCATGGCAGCGATGATATGTAATAATGAAAAGAGGTAGTTTGGTAAAGTGAAGGGATAATATATTATTTATATAGGCGTGGGTTTTATGAATGAAGAAATGGGAAGGAAGAGGTCAAGAATCATGTCCATGCAAGGCGCGTATAAAGTTAAAGAAAACAAGGTCAAACTCAAAGGCCATGCCCATGACTAAATCAACTCGTCTTTTTAGATGGAAGCAATAAGACCTACGAAATTGGGATATTATTCCAGGCCCCCTTGCTCAAAGCTGATTTCTAAGCGCACCGGGTTTCAAAATATCTTCTTGTTTACTTGACGGCTTGTTTCTAATTCCTCCAAAGATTTAATTTCATATCTCACTTCAACCTATGTTTAATATAATATCATAGGGTCAGGGTGAACGTGACAAAAATACTTTTTTTATATTGTTTTGATAGGTATAAAATATCAAAAAATATTGGTAATTTGTAAATAAAAATAAATGAATAATGTATACGCTTAACATGGAATAAGATACATGTTATAGATTATATTTAATATGATTTGATAATGTTTAACTTTATATATAAGATAAACAAATAATCCACTGTAAACGTAAAGATTACGCGTAATACAAATACATTGAATTCATTGTATCACATTATATATATATATCCCAAACCCAACACAGTTACACAGTGTATCTTAAAACTCTTTCAATATTCCTACAAAATTCATCTCTACAATTCCTTCCAAATAATTTTGTGATTACTAATCTATATCTACATGATACATATGTTTGCAGACTTTCAGGTGAAGCTCAAGAAAGCGCTTTTCAAACTACAGTAACTTCCTAGGTACAGTCATCTTTCTGCTTTCTATATCTGCCTCCGATTTCGGTACTGTACAAAATCGTATTTTTATCAGCTTGTGCTCGACCACTGCAGCTGTTTTATTGAGGGGAGGACCAGTTAAGACATGACTATCTCTCTCTGTGTGTGAACGTTGAAAATAACTCGATTAGTTCCTTGAAGATGTTCCAAGTGTTGCATCATTGAGTCTGGACAGAAGAGCTAGTTTGCGGGATGAGTAGAGAAGGTAGATCTCTAATACGGAAACCATTGCCCCAGAAAGAGGCAAGAGAAAGACCCATAATAGCCATGGCAACGACAGAGCATGCGGATGGAACTGCTTGACTGCTGCCACCGAGGAATTGCGTTGCAAGAAGGCCTGCCATGGTGGAGCTTTGCATTCCGGTGCATAATGAAACTGTCCGACAAACTTCTTCTCTTTGCCTGCATGTTAACCATATGGTGTCAGATGGTCTGATTGAAATCAACAAGTAAAAACAGACTCCTGAAATAGAATCAAAGCATTCTGTATGTATATATTGTATAATCAGTGTATGGAAATTCTTGTGCAAACTGCTCTTCTTTTTAACCATTCCACCACAGCCTACTTATATAAGTGCAATAATCTTCGTCTATGATCCAGCTTAGGAGATTAGAATGTTTAAACAAAACTGATTTTTCAGCGGTTAAAGAAATAACAAATGCTTGAAAGTGCAACGAGATTCAGCCGGCAAACAATTCGGGGAAGATTTGAGAAAATCCAGGAAACATTAAAGAAAGATTTGGAATGACAAATTCTCTGCCTGATTGGCACACGGTTCTTATATAAGTCCAAAACGAAGTACTTTGGAGCTTGACAGAAAACTTGGGAGGGCATAAAGAAGGCAGATAAGAAAATATTCCAGGACTACAGCCCAGAAGGTAGTACTTACCATGCTCCAATAATCATAATGGAGCTACCAAATGTTCTACAATACTTGATCAAAGCCATTTCTCCATTAGATGTTTTCCCCCTCAAATGGTGAAAAATTATGAATTTTTTATGCTTCCACAAAGTAAAAATAAAAATAAAAATTGAACTCTTATGACGGAATAGATAACATATATGATAAATCAAATGGAAGGAATAGCATACTGAATTCTGTTGCTCTCCGAAACCTGAGAAAACAAATGACCTGTAACGATTATGAACTTATTCTATTCTAAGATTATGCAACCTGTTATTTCTCAGCCAAATGTTTGATTTAGTATAAGAAAAAGAAGGGGTCATGTATAGAGGCCAAACTGATATACAGAAACAATATCACCATCCTGAATAGAGCTTCTTAAGTTAAAGTCTACAATCTATCCACTAAACACTGTCCCCCTGCTCTTCCATAAGCAAACCAGGTGAAATGCATGTTTAAAGCGTAATGTAATACACAAGTTCTAGATTACCTGAAAGCAGGAATTTTTGAGATCCAATATCCCACAGCAAATCCCACAGCATGAAATGTCAATACAGGAAAAACCAGCTGAAGACCCTCTTTAGATAAAATTTGACTCCTATTCAATGCAAGAGGGCTACCAATGCACAGGGAAGTACAGATCATGGCGACAAAGGGCATCACAGGTTGAAGGATTGTGACCACCGGTTTTGCATAGGTATTAAGCACAAGACCGATAGTGATAGGAACAAAAACAACCTAACAAGAATACCAAAAAAAGCATTTACATTTTGCCAAGAAGCAAGAATTCTCATTAGAGAATATTGATATATGTTCAATCACCACATTACCTGTAAAATCGACTTCGACATAGCAACAGCATCAACCGGAATGACAGACCCTATGAGAAGGCCTGTTAAAACAGGTGTGACTATCACCGACACAATGGTAGTAAAGCTGGTGAGAAGTATACTAATTGCCACATCTCCTTTGCTCAAAAAACAGGCATAGCTGGAGAGCTGAGCCCCTGCCACACAAGATGTGAGGATAAAACCTGCATAGAATATCGGAGGCATACCAAAGGCCTTTGCAACTAAAACCCCAAGAGCCGGTTTGAGGATATATTGTGCAATTAATCCGATAGATAGTGGTAAAGGTCTGGAAGGAAACAAAATTATACAGATTGAGGAGCATGTTTCGGATTGAAAAAAAAAATCACATCATTAGCAACTATATCAAACTACACATGATTCAAAGAGAGACCCTTCTTGATTATTGTTATTATTATTGAAGAAATGAAATGTTTTTTACCTTTTGACTGCAAGTGTGAAATCATCAAAGGAAAGTCTAATTCCAATGGACAGCATAATCCCGCCAAGAGCAGGAGCATACATTTCCTTAGATACCCTACATGAAAATTTGTGTTTCATAATTGTTTTTCTTCCTTGAATAAAGCTAATGGAAAAGAAAACCTTTGTATTCATACCAAATGACACGTCTGGTTCGAGAAGAGAAACGAAGCATTGAAAGTGAGAATATATATAATAAAAAACGAAAAAAAGGAAAAGATATTAAAACCTGTAAAACTGCATAGCTTGAAGAAAGCATAAAACATTCAACTAAAAGCCAACAAGACACAAGAGTGAACATTTAAAACTCACAAAAAGCCAGAAACCGCAATAAATAACCATCGCTCCACCATATATAAATAAAGCAAATACCAATTTCTCGTAACAAGCTAAGCTATGGAGTATACATATAGATAGTTTTCCAAAAAGAATCAATTTCCAATTTTTTTTAAAAAAAATCCAACTATGAGATCAAAAGAAATACGACTATAGCACTACAGAGCAAAAAAAAAAAATCAAATGCCCACGTTAAACAACGAAAACCCAGAAAGACTTAGAATATTATTTAATTAAGAACTGATTAGAATGCAAAAAAAAAGGGGGGGCTTACCAGGTGAAAGTGGAAGGTTCAGCCAGGGCAGCAAAAGCAGTAATAGCAACGACAAAAGGAAGCATTGCTGACAGAACCTGCGATATATCAAGCTTCTTTGCTACTTGGGTAGAACCACCACCTGCGTTATTCCCAAACGAAAACCTCCGCGACCCAACTCTCCGGACATACGGCGTCGTTGAACAGGCAAATACAAACAACCCTCCTCCATTACTATTGGTAAGTTCAAAACAACCCTTCATCCCCCTCAACTTCAATCCATTTCTCGAATAAGGACAAACCGGCGCCGCTGGTTTGGGATAGATTGAGAGCCTATTCGCTTTCGAAGTGAAGGCAGTGGTAGTGGGAAGAGAAAGATAAGGAGGAAGTGAAATCATTTTGAAAGTATAGAAGAGGGGATTAAGGTTGCTATGGCCGGCGCCGGAGAGGTTTTAGTTAGTACTTAGTAGTGAGGGATATGTGGTGGTGGAAATGAATGAGAATTGAGAAATAGATAAAGTGGTGGGAACTTCGTGTGCTGCGCCTGACGTGAGCTGTTAAATAAATTGCTGATTATGTTATATTATTTAATCGAAAATATTATTAAGTATAATAATATATTAAGTAATATTTATATAGTGTAATATGTAATGTTTATATTGACCTATCTTCTAATTAAATATGTATATTTAAATCGGTAATATTATAAATTTTCCTATTATATTATAATTATCGATTTTGATGTTTTTAAGATTGATATAATTTTAAATGTATCGACACTTTATGCGTGCATCTCATTGTGTTTTTATTTTGGGAAAAAAATATCGACATATATTTAAAGAGTGTCGATACATAATGTAAACATATTTGCTAATTAACCAGTATATTTTTACCGGTTATATTGTAAATTTAACTATTTCTGAGTTTTTGTTCTTTGAGAAACTGATAACATGGTAGGTTTTCCAATGTTATTCTTTTGTTACTGTAAAGTTTTTGTTCTTTTCTTACTGAGTTTTACTTAAAATATCCAACCTTTTGTATTAAAAAATAAAAATTCTGAAATAAAAATGACCACACAAGCACACTTTTTTACTACTGATTTTATCATTTCGAAATCGATTTTGTCATTTTTTTACATGTTATATTGTTATGGATCGATACATTTTTATAAAGTATCGACACTTTATTGGTGCTATAACTTCTTTTCTTTTAAATTCTAAAAGTGTCGATACTTATAATAAAGTATCGACACTTTCAACATATCCGGTTTTGTCATTTCGAGATCGATTTTATCATATTTTTACTTGTTATATTGTTATGGATCGCTACATTTTTATAAAGTATCGACACTTTATTAGTGCTATAACTTCTTCTCTTTTAAATTCCAAAAGTGTCGATACTTATAATAAAGTATTAACACTTTCAACATATCTGATAGCGCTTTACCTGTTTTGTCATTTATAAATCGGTTTTGTCATTTTTTACCTGTTATATTGTTATGAATCGATACATTTCTATAAAGTATCGACACTTTCAATATATCTGGTAGCGCTTTACATGTTTTGTCATTTATAGACCGGTTTTGTCATTTTTTTACCTGTTATATTGTTATGGATCGATACTTTTTTTATAAAGTATCGACACTTTCAATATATCCGGTAACGCTTTACCTGTTTTGTCATTTATAAACCGGTTTTGTCATTTTTTTACCTGTTATATTGTTATGGATCGATATATTTTTATAAAGTATCGACACTTTCAATATATTTGGTAGCGCTTTACTTGTTTTGTCATTTATAGACCGGTTTTGTCATTTTTTTACCTGTTATATTGTTATGGATCGATATATTTTATTAAAGTATCGATATTTTCAATATATCCGGTAGCGCTTTACATGTTTTGTCATTTATAGACCGGTTTTATCATTTTTTCCATATTATATTGTTATGAATAAATATATTTTTTATAAAGTATCGACACAAACCGATAAGTTAAGTTTGTCGATTATCAAATTTTTTAATATTTCTTTATAATTTCTACCTATTACATTATTATTACTCGATATTTCCAATAACGTTAAATCAAATTTATTAAATATCTTTTAATAGATCTGATAACGCCATATATTAACCGTATATTAATCTTATTTTCACGAGACAATCACATCGAGTTTCGTAGGAAAGTTTGAGAGAAGCAGTAGTTGATAGGACAGTTTTAATTGGTTGCGTGAATATCTCCACCTGTCAGAAAATGGATGGTTATCATAGCCTCCAACCATGCCTGCCAAACTCTTTCAACCATATTTAACGTATCTTTATTTTTTATTTTTTATTCTTAATAATTATACCACACGTTTTTCTTTATCTCTATAACACATTTTAGATTATTTGATTATTGTTTTTATTTATTTTTTTAGGGTTAGATTTGACATCATCACAATTGATAAATATGTCGTTTATTTGTTATCGTGATGTTATTTCTTACTTTGGACTCTTGAATTGAATTTGGATATGCGATTTGCGTTCGTAGATTGTAATTTCACATCGCTTGATTCTGATTTACGATATGTTTCTGGTCTTATTATTTCCTTTTGTGATTCATTTACCGCTACAGTCAGATTTATTCGTATTTATTTTTTATTCGAGTTTATTCGTATGATCTTAAGTGACTAATTTTATTGTGTTTAGAAAAATATTCTTATTATATTTTTAATTTACAGTTGTGGGTGTAAAACTTTATTGTAGTTTAAATATTTTTTGTTTTTAATAAAATTAGTAGCTTCTTTCACAAAAATATAAAGAATATAAAAATAATTTTTAGGGACTTTTTAACGTTTACCTTTAATAATTCATTGAATAAATTTCTATAAATATATTATAACATCATAAGTGTAATATATTTTTTTATTATATGAAAAATTAATTATTTATTTACATTTGAATAATATGCAGTAATTAGAATGTATTATATGTTCGAAATATTACTTAGTCAATTGATTACAAACTAATATATGTTCAAATTTACTATGAGATCGCTGAATGAATCACTTATTTAATATATATATATTTTTTTATTTTATGATTTAGTATAACATCTCTCTTTTTCTTGTTTCAACCTAAAAAAACTATATCGAAGAACGAAGCAAATTGTTTTAAGTGGGCACAATAGCTAAACGCGGGATGTTCTGTTAGAATTTTGGGTTCAAATTCCATCTGGGATGTCGCAGTAACGAAATTTACTCTAAATGACCAAAATGATAAAAATATGATATGATTTTATTTGTAATTTTACAAGTTTTTTTTTATCTAAATGACTGATTATTTTTTATTTTCTTTCAACCTTCATCATTTTTATCCTAAATTCCTCTTGTGCTCTAAAATTTTATCTAGAAATTTTACACTATTGGTGACATTTCAAGATTTATTAATCAATGATCACATCACATGCGGTGTATATATAGACACACAAACATAAAATGTCACTTGAAACATTGTAGCATAGCATGTGCAATGGGATGTGTTATAATCATTGGATCAATGATCACATCACATGCCATATAGTATTTCCATCAATTCAGTAATTTCATCACACCAAAATGGTTCTACAGACTACTAAGCTGGTGAGGTGTACCTTCAAACCTCTATTTCTTCTACTCGTTGACAATACTAACTCCAGCAAGATTACTAAAGTAACAATATAAAAAGGTCTTAATCGTTTGGAGAATGCCATATAAAAAAATTTCCCTTCTTCCACAACCAAAATCTAACTGCTAAACAATTGCTCCTATCAGCACCAATACCTTGCAGGACAGAATAATGGAAAAAGAATGGCACGTTTACTTGAGATACATTAATTTTTTAAGAAACAAACATGTTAACAACAATCCCATCCAAAAAATGAAACAAACGTCAGCCTTTGGGAGTGTCTGTTTTGAAGAGAGACAGCAAAGGAAAAATCTATATCTAATAATCAAAAGAAAGTGTCCATGACAGAAATCGGGCACTTAATGGGAAAAATTCAACTTACTAGACATATTCAATGGCAGTCCATTGGCCCAATCCAAAGCCATCTGATGCACCTGATACAGACAAAGTGCAAATTGTACATAGAGAAAATCAAGGAAAGTAGACCTATCTTTTAACAACGGTCTAAAGCAGTTTTGCCCAATGTAAACATTCTTAGATGAAGCATTCAATCTTGACTGCTTAATAGAATAGGTATATCCAATATCTTATTCAAATTTCAGTGCCAATTTGTTGTTCAATACAAAGGTATGATTGCATACAACATTGGTCGTGCCCAATACCTAATATGAAAATCTACAAGCTTTTGCAAAGGGAGGGGGGTGGGGTTAACTAAGGATGAAGAAGAGACGGGTTTTACACTTGATAGATTCAAAAAAAGCCATCGGTTCCATGATCCAGCTACTTCAAAAAGCTTCCAGGGCTTCATGCAAGCATACAAAATAAACGTGGCATTGCCACTCATCAGGTAGAACCAAAAGATAACTAATTTTGCAAGGCTTTAACAACCTTCCCAATGCAAGAGAAATATAAGGAAAAACAGAAAATCAAACTTTTCTGGGGATACAAGACTAACAGTACAAAATCCTAGGGAGAATTATATTCCCATCCAATGATCATGATTTACACAAAGTCACAAACATCTGTTTGAATTATGACAATGAAAACATATTCCATCGGGGCTTAGACTTGAGAAAAACGATGCAAGTACAAGTCCCTGAAAGAAATATAAAAGAAAAGGCAACTAAATAGCAATGTGCTCAGTGCACCAATGCTTATGTTTCCCTCCTTGTTCACACATAATGAAATTAGATTATAGATTAAAGAGCTCAAACTACAGCAATGTTCCATATGGAACAGGGGTAACTCAAGAGTAAAGAGCAACCAACAAACAACTGAAACGCAATATTCAAGCATACAAAGTGGATCACATGCTTAGCAAGGAATAAATAAGGGAAAAGAAGCAAGGGACTTTTTATTATTGAACTTTGTCTCATGATTGATTCATAAAGGCGTTCTTGTCCCATCAATCTAATTCTTTTTACTACAACAAAAGGACACTCAATTTAAGAACTATGCTTATATTCATAATACAAATGAGAATTTTAACATATGAATTAAATTCCTTATATTTTATCACCTGAAATAACCAACCAAATGCTCTCATCTCCTTGTTATCTTCCATATGATAAACTAACCATGAAGGACATCGGTAAATTAGCTTTCCTATCTTCCATTTTCACTTCATTGGCTAGTCTCGGGTAGACAAAAGCCGCCTGGACTTGACAAGTTGATGATTCTGCACTATGAACACAGACAAAATTGCAAGCAAAACACACTGGATGGAGACGTAAAGATCATCTAAAGAAGACATTCCGACCAAAATTTACAATGTTGGAGGGCGAGGCCCAGAATACACTTCAAGGCTAATCTGATTGAGCTATTGAATAACTTATTGTCTTTCCACCATTCTAGATCTCTTTCCTCCCAAATCT